ATATTTTTTTCTAATTTCTGAAAAACTGTTGAGCAGAAAGGTCAGGTCCATTAATGTACATTTATAAGTGATCATGCGCAATTACTATTGTTCTCCAACGTGGAGCAAGCGAAGATAGCGTGCATTTATACGACTGCTTGCATGAACGAGCAAAATCGTAACTATACAATGCTGTATGTGCGAGCCATTTTTCCTTTGTAAGTATGACTTCCACTTCTATAAATTTCCTTCTCTCGTTTCGTACAGGTTCAGTTTTTCATCTGCATCTGTCATAACCACAAGCAGGAGAACATTTCGCCAAGCAGCCATCAAACATTAACGCACCAATAGCGTGGAATTGCTAATCATATTTCGCAACAGCTGCAATTGTCCTATTTATTCTAGAACAATGCAACTCACGCAAAAGTTTAAATTTTGGCTTTGATCATACAGCGTAAAGCAACAAACTCGGAGGCTGAGTTTCAACTAGTCAAATAACTAGAGCTGACTAAAAGTGGGTATTTCGCTTCGGGAATGAAAAATAAGACTTCACAAACCAAACAAGATAGTCTGGGCGCCTTAACATAAGTCAACAAGGTTCGCTACTTATCAGATCGTAGACTGACATACTATATAGCAAAAAACCTTGTTCCCCACATTTCAAACTGCCTTCTCAGAGGTAATGTCCGGACAGAACTAAAATTTAATTCTTATCAGATAATGACAGCCACTCTGTAAGCTATTCCCCCCAGATTCATGCCATGATTCGTCATAATAAGCGAGAAAATCGCTCCGGACGTTCAGGTTAGCCCGTCTCCATTAGGTTACTCTGTCCTCTCAATGGTTTTCTTCAACGCCGCCTTTTTTGCTTCTTTCGAAAACAGTGCTTTTTGGCAAAGGTATACGATCGTCCAAAAGTCGCAAATTTTTAGTTGCCCCTTGGCCACTCGCTCCTGTCAATCCAAAAAAAGCTCAGTCTCTATCTTTTTTGACAGTGTCACGGTGATTGTAGTTGCTATTCGTGTTCAGCACACCGAAATGGTCCAGAAAGTAAAACTGGAGTTGAAATTTTGCCAGGACTACCTTCAAGGGGATTGCCAGCTATTACTCTAAACGGAACCGCAGCCAACTGCCTACAATCGTATTAACGTGATGAACTTTAAAAATTCAGCGAACCTATACTTGTGATACACTCCATGTCGTTGCCAAAGTGAAATTCAATATAGCATTATAAACTGTGTAAGGTCGCATCTCTAGATTTTCTTAAACTTTTATGCGGATAAGATTAAAAGAAAACCTCGATGTTTACTATCTTTTTTACACTTTTACAAGCATAACGTCAGCAATTTGTTACCTCTTCCACAATGTGAAAGAGATGCTAGAGGTTGTTTTTGATGGTTGATAAGATCTATTGTATAATGGGTATAATACAGAACGGTTTTGAAGAAAGCTCTACATGAGCGCAAGAACAACTTTCATATTTCACGACTGTACACAAAAAGTTATTCAGGTTTTTTTTCATCCGTAACAATTTCCGAAACAATGCTCTCAAAAGTTTTCACATCCACATCTATCTCGGCAAGTAACTGTACAAATTTATCTGAAGCGTTCCCTCCTAGATATATGATATCTTCCACAGATGTATCCACCGACGAAATCCTAAACATTTTCTTTCTGCTGAATTCCGAAAAAGAATCAGAGTATGAACCCACAATTTCAGCAATATGCAACACACGAGTTTGAGAACTCTGTTGGGGAAGTCGGTGATGGTGTTGGGCTCGAGATCAAAAGTGGCTGCTATCATGTACAGCCAATTAGTTTCAGAAAATGAGACACCTAGCTCTTCTTGATAAGTGGTCATTCTGCAATGATAGGAAAACATTCGCAAAAAAGAACAGAGAAAAGAGTTTTACTATACATGTACTCACTGCTTTTTGATCGAATCGAGAAAGATGTGCAGTCGTTTTTTTCGTATATCTATTGAATCCACTGTCGGTAATACACGATCATTCTGAAATTATAAACAATACATCAGATCAGAGATGTGAACATAAAAAAGACAATATCTCTTCTACTCTTAAATTGTGATATGACAAACCATTT